CCCCCCCGGGACTACGTCAAATACGCTAGCTCCATCCCTTCTTTCTTCTTGTTTCTTTCAAGTTCCTTTTTCTAAAATTATTTCTTTAACGCATCGAATTTTCATGTAGCGATTTCATCTGAACCTAAAATTTTCTTGTGCGATATTTGTGAGATCAAACATTAGCGTTATAATACGTGTTTTTGCGTGATCGTGATTACTAGAATGCTATACCGCTGTGCATCGTTCTAATTGGCTCAACCGTTGCTAACGAAGAGCGTCGATTGACTGAGAGTGATTGACTCCAACAATGAAACGTTTTGGAATCTTTAACAACTTCAATTTTGTTCAACTCCAGAAACGTCCTTAAAATACGCAAACATTCAAGCGAATTTGAATCTTTAGTCTTTGGGTTTTCAGATTCAATAAGTTTTACATTCCTATAGGCAAAATTTTAAATTATTGATGAGCTCAAACATGCACGTCCATGATTGAAGTCTGATGGAGGATCAAGATTGTAACTTGTAGTTACGACTTGAAGCTGTTTTTGAAAAGCTAAAATATTTAAGCTGGAAATATCTTACAAAGCAACAGCTCCAGCTATGCTATCCTGGAAGCTTTTCGTATCTCTTAACGCGGTTTTTAATCTATATTTGTGGACTATCGTTCCAGTATCTGCAAGCTTGAGTAAGTACAGAAATAATTTGATTGTTTACTGTTATGTCGTCTTTATAATATTAAATTTACTCTAACTTAACCTCGTTGAAAGCTCCCCTATTTAATCAGTATCTAAGTTAATGTATACTTATATTATTTTCCTGGAAAATTACAACTTTAAATGTGCTCTTCAAATGTGTTCTAACACTTCAGAATTTAGGATAAGATGTTTGATTTGGCTATTCGCTACTGTCAACAAAAATGCGCACTGAAAACAACAAAAATGCGCACTGAAAAATTGATATCTTTAGGAAAGGCAGCTTAAGACCAAAATGTTTGCAGCCTCGTATTTTTTAATTTTAAGGAATAAATATTGCATTTAGTATGCTATTAGTAATTATACTGAATGGTTTCAATGTAAATATATTATTTTATTATTGTTTTGGAACAGAAAGAGAAGTTAATTAATTTAAGAAATTGCCCTATTTCACTATGACGTCACTGCTTGTTTATTTTGAAAATTCAACAACATTTGCTCCTAGCGAAACAGTTTAATCTAAAATGGCCTGGTTTTCAGATATAATATGTGTTAATATGTACTAAAAAATATTCTGAGCGTTTGCTGGCTATTCTACTTCTCTTCGTGGATTGATATATGGGTTTTAGAACAATTTTCAGTGAATTTGCTTTGATTTGACCCCATCCGACGACCATGTTCCTTTGCGTTTAAACAATAGATTGTTTTTATGTGACGTCATAGTGAAATAGGACAATTGAGGAGCGCTGTTAATTTGTCAACAAAAATTAATGTTCTTGATGATTTGTGTTTTAGGTTTTGTTACAGAACCTGCTGATCAAGTCATAGCTGTAGGAAGTTCAGTGATTCTTAATTGCGATGCAACCGACAGTAACGGCAGGCCACTTGGCATCAACTGGAAATGGAACAATGATTGGATATTAGACCCTAATAAACCACCCTGGTTACTGCTGAGAAATAACTCACTATACTGTCAGTCTATCACAGCACAAGATGTGGGTCAATTTCTGTGTGCCGCAACTATCACAGGGGCAAGTGAGATAAAATACAGTAGGACGGCCAAAGTTCAACTTGCATGTGAGTGCCACCTCAATAGACTGCTTTACCTTGGGCTGAATGTTCTCCCATTTCAGACCATGTGCCATTATCTTGAGAATAAGATTCTTTGTTTGAGTTGCATTCCTAGTCATTTGTCTTCTTATGCGAAACCGTTAAACAAAGAAAGGATAATAAACAGAATAACACGTGTTACTAGTGTTTTACCATTTCAGACCATGTGTCATTCTCTTGAGAATAAGATTCTTTGTTTGAGTTGTATCCATATATTCATGTGACTTCTCATTTGTAATCATCAAGCACAAAAATAATTCTCTACTCATCCACTGATTCCAATTGAAATTTAGAAGTTTGATTTTTTTTTCTTAATTACTTTCAAGACACTGATGCACAGTTTTCCTCATCACCATCAAACAAAACAAGCAGAGTGGGAGATGCAAGCACCTACTTCACCTGCATTACTGGCTACAGTCTTCCATCTGCGTCTGTCTACTGGGAAAAAGATGGACAAAAAATCACCACAGGAAAAGTTACAAATATGTTGATTGATTCTGCRAAGCAAGGAATCAAGTGGACGTCCTCAAGTCTTTTAATCTACAATATTGATTTATCAAGTGCTGGGTCTTATCGTTGTGTAGCAGTGAATCCCCTGGCACATACAATTGTTAGAAAGAGCGAAGCAGCCCACTTGATTGTTTTGCGTGAGTTACCTGGCTTAGTCATATTAACCATTCAGAGGCTGAATGCAATTGCAGTGCATTGTGGGACTGTATTAGGGTACATATTTCCAAGATCACATCTATTTTGCCCCTAAAACAGTCCTAAACAATACACTGCAATGCCAACTGGACCCGGTTTTTTTCCTCGAACTCAGAAAGGCAAATCATATTTCTTATTTGCTTTGATTTATATACTTAAAATTGTAGAATTTGAGAGAAGCTATTTTTCCTTACTATTTTAGATTCAAACCTTATCCCCTCACTCCTCTATCACTCCACTTCTCTTCTCTCATCCATCCATCCACTTAGCCATCCATATATCCATTATCCCATGTCTCCATCTATCTATCCCATTCGTTTATTTATCCCATCCATTATATCCTATCCATTATTCAAACTAACCTTCAATCCACCTATCAATTTATCCACTGATTTAACTAACCGTCCATCTATCTATTCATTGTTCCATTTTTACACCAGGCTATATCCTTCCGATATGTTATACTTCTCACCATCCATCCATTTATCAACCATCCATCATGTTTTCATTCGTCCATATTACCAATAATCAGCCAATCATTTCTCAATCTCAGTGGCGGATACAGGATTTTAAAAAGGGGGGTGGATAATTTTTAAAAAGTTTTTTTGAGCCTTCTTTTTACAGTACAAAGGTAAAAAATGATTAAATTATAACATACAGTGTACTGCATACTTGTGAATGCAGCTAAATTTTGACTCTTGACATGTTTTGTAATTAGATGCAATCATATTCTTCTATTTTCCTAAAAATATTCACTTT